GCGCATCTGGAGCACATCTTGGGATTTTGTCGAGCAAATAGATATGCGCTGTAATGAAACAATCCACAAATACATCGCCCACATTGGGATAATGGATTAGCTGTATGGACTCCTGAACGTTGCATAATGAGCATAATTACGGAAATTCTTTTTATGTGATACGTCTGTTTAGGATTTCAATATTATGCAATGCACGGCTTAAGTGCATGATCAGGGCTCAGCACAGCTGGCACCGGGTCAAGCTGGACATCGTTTTTAGCGCGGAAAGCAAAGGGGATATCGTTTCTACGGGGGCCGAGGCGGAGAACTGCCGCAAAAATGCCGCCGGCATGCCACCGGCATGCCATTAGCAAGCTATCCATCAACAAACAAAGGCGTTGTTTTCAGCCAAAACGCAATAGTATGACACCAAATTTGGTATGTGCATGCGCGTTGGTGGACCGGAACTATAGGCCAAGAATTTATGAAAACTTTTGTGAATGAAAGCTGTGCCGAACTTTTTTCTGAATTAGCTGGCACCGTGCCAGCTGGGTGCCAGCTGAGCTGGCACCGACACTTTGCTCACATAAGTTTTCATACTTTTTTACATAAAATGTATCTACACTGTAAAAGATTACATACGGAGAAGAAACAGTTTCATAACGTTCTCTTTCCAGCGTTTTATAGCAATTTGAAAACCACTCGCTCCGCTCCGCCGTCGAAAAATCGGCTTTTTCTGCTTCTCAAGATGTGATTCGACCACTTAAAAAGCTCAGAAAGCTGTGAAAAGCTCTTTCATGAAATCGGAAATGCATGAAAACACTACTACATTTTTTTACATATAAAAATGATGACGGGTTTTCAAAACAGGTCAAAAGGGACTTCGTACGAAATTTTCAATATCAAACGGGACTTCGTTTTGAAATTTCTCTGGTGCCAGCTCGTGCCGAGCCCTGTGCATGATTATAAGCTGATTGGAGACAGGTGTTTTACGTATTGGCGAACCGAGAAGGGGATGAGCTCACATAAAATTGACGAGATTTTTGAAAGTGGCTCAAATAAATTATTTTTATCAATATTTGTCGTATTTGCTATTTTTATCTTTTATAAAACATCTGTTTCAGTTCTTGTGAATAACGAAAATAATACTGTGAATGCAAAAACCTTTTCTAAAAAATGCGAAGTTTCTTGATTTTTAAACTTTGCCTCCAGGACATGAAACTCGACCCAGATTCTTTTTAAAAGTCAGCGAAAATGATCAAAATTCCTTCTACTTCCTTAATAATGGTATCCCATACGCATCTAAAGTTCAAAGAGGATAGTTAAAAGCTAAATCAAATGTAAAAATTCGCAGCGTACTTAGGGGTTTTGAGGGCATGTACTAAGAATATCAAGTTGTATAAATGACTGAAGTATGTGTTTGAGGTATCTAAATGTACAAAGCTTCTAGCTTTCGCAATGATGATTGAAAAACGCTGATTAATAAATTTTTTTGAAGTTGCGTGTCAATAGCAACAGAAATCTGTTAGCGCCAGTAAAGTTTTGTTTCAATCTTTCGAAAACCATAAAAACGTACCCAGAGAGTTATGCCGTTTCGTATCAAAAGAGACCGGCCTCTCAAACAAGAAGTGCTTAAAATATAGCACTGTTTAAAGGTCTGCTTGTTTTTGTACCTCTTTTCAAGCGTTGATTGATTTCGAAGAAGAAATTTTAATTTTTTATTGGGACAAAGCTTATGTCATCTAAAGACTCTTTTCTTCTAGTTTTTTGAGCATATTTCCGTTAAAGATCATGGTTCATTCTGTGGCAAGATGCTTATCGAAATATGATTTAACCCATTGACGACGACTCCTAAATTTGCGTGTCGTGTGGAACTACGCGAATTTGCACAACACTTTCGGTTGGGAAGGTGTTGTGGTTATTTACGAGATGCAAGTTTGTTCTGTAAACAACTATGAACATTTTCATGAGCGACGGAGCCTACGGGTTCCAAGAGTGCAAAAAAATTGGATAAAAATGCTAGTATGTGGAAAAAATACTAGGCCTACAGCAGTGGCGTACCGAGGGGGGGGCGGGGGGGGGGGCGCGCCCCCCCCCCCCCGAGAATGGGTCGCGAAATTTTTGAAAGTTACTTATATGGGTTATAAAAATGTGTAAGTGACTTGTTTATTTTTGTAAATAATTAAAATAATTTTTAAAAATTTTTAAAAATTCAAAATAGCCGTGTAAAAATTTTTTTCGGGGGCGTGGCTGACGCCACGCCCCCTTTTTCCAGATTTTAGGGGTCTGGGACCCGAAAAAATCTTGGGAAGCACCTCCAAAAATTTTTCGGAGTGCGTGGCTAACGCCACGCACCTTCTTTAGAAAAAAATTTTTGTCGCGCCCCCCCCCCCCCCCGAGCCGAAATCCTGGGTACGCCACTGGCCTACAGATAATATGACTTTGCAAGAGGTATGGGTCACCAGTGGTCCACATCTTTGTCAATGGGTTGAAGAAAATTCTGAGCCTAGTCTCATCGTAAACATCTAAGCAGTGAGATCAGGCCAAGAGCATACAATACATGGAAACCGAGAAATTTCTCCCATTTGTCAGCGGCGAAATAATCAAAAAATTCAAAAATCCATTTTGTGTCTTCGAAAAGAGCAAAATGAGTGGGTTTTTGGATTATTTTGTGAAAATGCCTATAAAATCTCGATGAGCAAACTTAGCGGTACTGCTCAGCCGACTAATGACTAAATAGTGAGAGATTCCAAATCAACCTTCCAAACCTTCCAAATCAACCTATGGTTTTTCAAAGTAGGCGTTTCTAAAAAGAGATGCACAGCGATTTGCGCTTGGAATATTTTTCTCTTAGTTGTTGGGGGAGCCTAAGCCTAATTTTGAGTATGTTTAGAAAAGCCATAGATTCATAGCATCTAACACACTTTATTGCATTCGCAGTGACCATTTTTGAAAAGAATTAGAATGAATCAAACTTGAACAAAAAAACGGTAGAGCTTTCGAAAAAACTGATGTAGTAGCATCTCATTTCTAAAATAATCGCGCGCAAACAACGAAGACAAAAAAAACATTATATCTATGTGGGTCCCACAGCAAATACAACTCGGAAAATGTGCAATTGCACATATGAGCAAAGGCAGCCATTGCAATGTATTATTTTCTTTTTGTCCTAGCATATATAGGAACATGCGGGACCGTGGCACAGTTGTGTTGACTGCCGCCATTACTCTCCATACATCAATATTGATTTTGTTTATTCAAGAACTTTATTTTATTGGATTCAACGTAAGTTGTTGCACTTGAAAGAAAAAACATTCTTAAGTTTCTTCCAAGATTTTTCCTCATTTCCAAATTGAGTGGAGGGCTGTAACTTTTTAATATGTACATGCCACACGTGGACAATCCAATTTCTGAATTTTTCAGAAAATTTTCTGAATTATTTGTGGCAAATTTCTAGATTGCGTTATTGAGCCCCTATTCCAAACTTCCCTCATATTAGTACAAATGTTGCTAGGAATCCAACAAAAATCTGAGAGCGTAATAAATAAAAATGAAAGAATTTTTTTTTGGCAAGAGAAAAAATGGAAGATTGAGTGCCGTCACAAAATCGCTTTTATATTTACCGTAACCCATACCTGCAAAGGTGGAAATGATGCCAATGGATACTCCTTTGTCCACTGCCCGTATGTGCCAAATATTAGACTTTGTCAAAGTTTCTAGAGTTTTTCAGAAGAATATGAAAAAATTGTCTCAAACTTATGTTACAACCTAATACACACACATTCTTTTGATCAAAAAAATTCTACCATAGTTCGTCTGCCCTTGGAAGTGCAAAGCTCGGTGCTCTCAAGCTACTTCGCAGCATTCGTTATCGCTGCGGCCGGACATGTGAGGCGAGTATTGTCGTGAAGTCTCGACGATCGTGAATGATTGCTTCGTACCGTATTCCAGATGTGCGGGCGCAAAGCTCTGCGGCTCGCACACGTGTTCGAGCAATGGGGCTGTGAACGTTGAGAGAGAAGAAACGACTGACACTTGCCACCAGAGATTCGCTCATAAACTACCGTACACTCACGCACACTCAGTTGGTGAGTTCAGCGCTTAGAAACTTTTCGGTGACGGCGACTCAGTAGTTCACATACTCTATGTTTTGCCACTGCGCAGGAGATTATTCCACATCTCCTTCTTCGCCTTATAGTCAGAACTACTTTGTGAATTTTTTTTTCGCTTTCGCTTAACATACGAATAGCAGATCTGATGATGAAAAAAGTACTGATAACAGAAATTTCAATTATTAACTGCTTACTGGCTTTTATCCCCGCAACTTACAAGTCCAAGCTGTTTTTGGAAGAATGTGGTTCCATTTTGGACATCAGCGGTTGAGTCAATCTGACCATCTGGTGAAATTCCTTTCAGATTCAAGAACTTTGTCGTTCATTGAGAATAGGCAGCATCTTGTAAATTTCAAATCGAGATTTTCTAGTGATACATCCTGGCGTTCTTTTCCAAGAATGTTCCCATCGAAAGAAATTTCTGCATTTTAGGCTGTCTTATTTACCTTTAGCTTGGATTTAGTTGTAGATATAACAAGTACTTAGCTGTGCAGGAGATCTTCTTGTTGGCTCTCAACCTATGGCAAGCTTCTTGGGCAATTTTCAACTTTTCTCCTGGAAAATTTCGTAAAGCATCATTATCATAATTATGCATAATCCAGAGTTATTATAAACGGTCCATCTTCAGAAACTCGCATAATATAAAACACTGAGGGTTCACGGAAGTTCGTATCTGTATTTTACCTAGCTCAAACGACGTACTGTTTGCTTTTGTATTTTGTAAACCACATCAAGAACTTTTCTAAAGGATCGATCCCTGTGCTATAAGTTTCTTTATACGCAACTCTAGAGCAGTGCATCAAGGAACAATTTCTGAAACAATTGGCTAGAACTACAGAATGAATCGAATGTTGAGATTTTGTGATTTTCAAATACATCTTTGTGAACTTTGTAAATGCTCATTTCCAGATGCCAAAAGATTTCTCTATCGACTACCTCCTCTCAGATTTTCAAAGCGCAAAAGAATCTAAACAAGAAGGCATAGTCAAGCGAGATGGCATACGTTTTAAATTGGAAGGAATTGCTCTGTGGCGACGATTTCATGCACTTGGCACGGAAATGATTGTGACGAAAAGTGGTCGGTGGGTTTTCTTGGGGACTTCAATTTTTGATTTGAAAAACTTAAAAAAGTATATGGTTATGAGTTATCTACGCAGCAAAACTATATCTCAATTTTCCAGCATCCTATCCTTAAAGTGAAATGTATAGTATATCTTATTTACAAAGCATATAATTACACGGTAGCAGTCTAGTATACTCTATCCTATCTGACTCTACTAATCGTAAGCTAAAATCAACGCAATCAATCGTTTCACAAGTCTCATAGTCTCAATTTTTCACTACCTCGTTCACTGTGATAAGAGATGTAACCAGTTTATTTTTTATTTCGTCCAAATTGAGATGTCGTTAGATGGAGCTCCAGCTTTTCCGTGGTGTTTTAAATGTATGGTGAAATAGCAGCAAATTTGCAGCTTACATAAAACCAGCCTTAACACATTGCACTTCTTTCAGAAGGATGTTCCCAGTGCTGAGTATCTCGATAAGCGGTCTTGATCCCACAGCTAATTATTCCCTTATGGTAGACATGGAATGCGTGGACAGCAAGCGTTATCGCTACTCCTTTCATCAAAGCAAATGGACCGCCACTGGGCCAGGTAATTGAACCGAATATTTCTCACATCTCTGCTTACTCGGAATGAGAAATGTCGTTTTTTGTTTTCCATTAGACAAGGGAGATTTGATTTTTGTTGACTTTGGTGTGATCAAATCTTGATCCATTTTTCTCCCACGAAATTAATAATGATAATTTCTGCAGTCGATCTTATTCTCCCAACTCTTCCAGGCGAGGCGGAGCTACCGTGTCGAACATTTGTTCATCCGGACAGCCCAGGCAGCGGAGCTCATTGGATGAAGGGCAGCATCTCGTTTGATAAAATCAAACTCACCAACAATCAACTGGATCAGAATGGACATGTGGGTAAAACGCGATACATGCTTAGGTTTTAAATGGTGGATATAAGTGAGTCAGATGATATCGGCTCCATGAAAAAAAAAAGCCAATTTTCATGCAAAAGTCGAGTTCATAAGTTCTCGTCATGCGAAAATGCTTGCTAAAATCCTACATGATTGAAGCTTTGTAGATCTGCATGTATTCGTTCGCAGAGGCATTCTGTTCGTTCAATCGAATCAAAGTGCATTTCACCTGTCTTTAGCTTTGGAATATTTTTATTGGTTCCTCAATTCTATTAGCTCGGTGCAAAAGTTTTGTCAGTTTTTTCAATCCATCGGCAAACACGTTAGAATGAAGATAAACAAATACTTCAAGAAATATCCGATGCAGAATTTCTCCCTCTTTCCAGGTGCTAAACTCACGTTGTGTTTCGTTGAGAAAGTGACGAGATATTTGCCGGAAATTACAATCACTCGTTTTTACCATGTCCAACTTTCACTATTTTTCAAAATTTTTGTATGAAATTTTCGAAGGAGCTGTAATAACCTTGAGATAGGGCAAACCTTTTGCCAACAGAAGCAATTTTTTGTAGCCCTACGCGCTGTCTTTTAGAATTTCTACGGAATATACGGGGAAAATCGCAGCATTTCTCAATTTCATGAGTGCGCACTGACGTAACCTATGTTTCAAAATCTTCGCAATTTAGAGCTAATATCGCTCATTTACTTTGCAATGGTAGCGGTAGCAATAATCTTGTGTTGAAACCTCAGTATTCTGTAGGTTTCGCAGTGTTTGGTGCAATAACAGGTTGTGCGATTTTTTCAAAACACAAGACTTATAAAAAACTAGCTGATAGTCCCGCTCTCACCCGAGACTTTTAGTTTAACCAATATGTCATCGGCTCCCATTCGTATAGAGGCGGGTTGCAAACTTCCCTGATCTTTAGGATAAACTTGTTAAACCTCTACGTTAAAGCATTAAATTTCGTACTTTCTCGTCGAGCTTATCCTTGAAGTCACTGAAGTCCGCAGCCCGCCTCCACACGAATCTGGAAGCCAACATGCTTACACTTTCTAACTTCTACATTGCGCGAAAAGCGCTTTGAGACGAACTCGCTGCATCCTGTCAGCCTTGAGATTAGAATGAACTTTACTGCCCCTGCTTACATGCTTATTTGTAAAAATGATCGGTTGCCATAATGGCCCTTCATTTTCTTAGGTTTGAGTAAACAAATCAATAAATCGATGGAATGGCTCGGCGAATCGCCACGAAAAGTAGCTCTAAACCACCGCCGGGGTCGAAAACATACGTGTGCGAAGTTTCAGCCGGATCGGTTCAGTGGCGCGCGTTTCTATAACGAACGAACAACTAAACGAACATCCTCACAGACATTGAGTTTTATATATACAGGGTGTCCCAAAAAAATGTTTCGAACGTTTGATCGTTAATATCTCTCTTCCCAAGAAGTCTTTTGCCTTGCTTCAGGGACCGTTTTGTAGGGCTGGCTTCAACTTAGATTTACATTATAGAACGAATCACCCATCTCTCTTCATTACTGTAGGATTACGGTAGAAACTTGAAAGAGGGTTTTGAGCAATGAAAGGCCATATTTTGCCTCAGAAAAGAAACAAAACAGCCTGAAAGCTTCTACACTAGGCTAATTAGAGTTGCTGATTATAACTGTAAAGTTTCCGACTTATTATGATGCTTCATTGAAGAGTTATGCCAGATAAGAGGTAGCGGCCATTTTTTCAATGTTCCTGAAAAGTGCGATTACACCGTTTAGAAAACTTCGTAACCTCGTGAACAGCTGAGTATTGAACTCAGCGTCCATAAAAACCCTATTACACAAGTTTTCACAATTATTTGAAAAATTTTGAAACGGCAGCTTTTTTCCACATTAACACCACATGTTTCAAGTTTCTACCGTAATACTACAGTAATGAAGAGAGTTGGGTGATTCTTTTTCTAGTGCAAATCTAAGTTGAAGCCAGCTCTACAAAACGGTCCCTGAAGCAAGGCAAAAGACTTCTTGGGAAGAGAGATATTAACGATCAAACGTTCGAAACATTTTTTTTGGGACACCCTGTATATAGATTATTTAGCAAAAATCTGAAAAAGCAGCTGAAAGAAAGGAAAAAAATTAAGTTGGCAAAAGTTATCCCCTATCTGGTAACTATTAGGGCTCCTCCGAGAGTTTCATACAAAAATTTTGAAAGTGAAATTTGGACATGGTAAAAACGAGTGGTTGTAGTTTCCAGCAAATATCTCGTCACTGTCGCAACGAAACACAATGAGATTTTAGCAGCTGGAAAGAGGAAGAAATTCTGTATTGGTTACATTTCGAAGTGTAAGTTTATCTTCATTCTAACGTGTTTGCCGCCGAACTTAAAAAACTGACAAAACTTTTTTACCGACCTAATATTTTGTTGGAACATAAGTTTCGCTTCAGAAATGCTGAAAAATTCATTCAAAAATGCTCAGACAACCGCTTTTATCTGTATGGTAGTCTTTTTGCTGTGGATATATGTACCAATTTTAATCCACATATTGGAGAACCATCCGTAAAAATAAAGCAAATCACAATTTTTCGTGACTTTGTTTATCAACTTGAATTGCCTCTATATAGTAACAGTTATTTTTCCCCCTGAGAACTTAGTTTGTAAGCACTTTGTTTGAAAGTTTCAGAAAGGAAGTTTTTTTCATTAACCCCATTATACCAGACGGATTCATCAAATATGAAGGACTTAGAAGTTTTCAAAATTTAGTGCAAGACTTTTTAGCCTAGTAAATTCTTGATTTTTTTCTATTCCTAGATAATCGTCAATTCGATGCACCGATATCTTCCTCGCATACATCTGGTACGACATGCGGATGAAAACGCTGAGAACGAGATCGGCAATAAGAAGGATAGCATTACGGTGACATTTGAAGAGACCGCGTTCATTGCTGTGACGGCATATCAAAATCATAGGGTTAGTATTGAGATATTTAAAGCAAATTTTTCTAGTACTTGAGACCTTAAATGAAACAAAAAATATGATGCATACAAAACACTATTATTTCGATGTTATTTGGATAAACAAAAAAGTTTAGTTTCTGAGAAGAAAATTCAAAAAAGATAAGCAAGTTCAATGGTGCTCAAATCACTATGTACCTTGAGCATTTCTTTTTCAAAAATCTATGTGAATGCTTCTCATATCAGATTATAACAACCTTCCAAAATTGTATGAAGAAAGGGAAGGGACGGCACCAGCCACGCGTCCTCAGAAAAATTCAAGGCTAAATTACGTTTATATGGGATAAAAATCAAAATAATTACTTACAAAGAGAAAACCTTCTTCATTAATTCTTGTGCCACATAATATAGGTTTTCCATATTTCTGATCATCTAAATTGCTATCAAATGTTGACCTCTTGGGGGCGTTTACTTTCCTCCTATCCTACCCTCTCTGTCACTCCCAAACTCGGTCCGCCTCGAAAATCTTATTTGGGAATGTATTCTCAGCTTGCGAGAGGAGAATTAGAAGAGTGAAGACGCGCTTGGGTTTAGATTATACCATTTTTCAAGGACGGAAAGTCAGCCAAGGTTCCTTAATCCTACATTCGGTTTGTTGGATTCATATAATTCGCTACACATGCTAAACAATTTTTTCCAAACTAGTGTTCTCTCTGACAATAAATACCAAAGTACATACGTAGCAACATCATTCTCTGTAGCATGTACATCACAAATACAGCGAAGCCCTAAAAAGGTATGCAAAAAAAGAGTCCCATCTCTCCTCATACTATTTAGCGCTCAAATATTTGATAACGTGGCAGTAAAACTTATCATCGAGCGCTTTATGCTAATTTTTGATACCCAGAATGCGCTCTTATCGCGAATTTTTTCCCAGTTGATGCAAACAACCGCCCTCCCCTCCCCACCGCTTTTTCAATTTTTCGATAAAAGTAGTGTTGTCAAGGCAAACATGAATATTTTTGTGCACTAGTTTTCGAGGAAAGAATGGCCGGTAGTTATGGCGACGCGTATGCTTTAGACAATAACCTCTAATTCGTGAGCCACGTTGATCACCCTCATTGTTGTATTTCTCACCTGGATTGCTCGTAAACACGCTAACAGCAAAATTCAATTTATCATAAAATATAGATATATTTCTAGAGGATTCGAGAAAGCCGCAGTTGCACACGTTTGACACGCCTTGAACTTGTTTTTTCTTTAATTTCAAGTGAAAAAACTTCTTAGGTCACGTTAAGTGAAAAGAAGACATGTGAAATCGGGTAAAACAGAAATCTTAACCAGGGCCCGGCACGAGGTGGGCAAACGGGGTTTTCCAAAACGAATTCCTTTGATCCCAATAAATTTTACGAATACCCCCTTGAGCCCAAAAATGACGTTTCGTGCTTGTGCGACGAGATTACCGGCCACACTTCGCCTAAAAGCGCTCAAAAGCGCCCAAATTGCTCAAATTCCTCAAATTATTCCTCAGCTGTATCAAAATAGAAAACAGGAAGAAAAATAAGCAAGAAAAATGATTAAGGAATGAGAAAATATCAAAGAAACGCAGTCATAGGAATGAGAGACGCCGTTCCCGCGCGTATCGATTGACTGGGGCGCGCTTTCTATCTTAGAAAGCTAGGCTGCTGATGCGATTTTGGGCTCTAACAAGGACAAGAGGAGGAGTTTCGGAACCAAAATTTCACCATTTAGTAAACTTTAGGTGTACAACAGATTTATGTAAACTTTTTGAAAAAATTATGTGAATTGAGAGTTTTGCCGACCTCAGATGGGAATTAGGTCGGCAAATGCCGACCTAATTTGGAAATTAGTTAAGCACGCTCTTCATTCACATAAGTTTTTCATAATATTTCATACTTTATTACTTAGTCCTATTGCGCATATACACACCGGATCCCGCGCTATTTCGTTACCTCTGCGTTGCAAACGAGCCATTTTTCCATTTCTTTGGTAGCGCAAAATTTTCAGAAAAAAGTTTGCCACAACCTTCAGTCACATAATTTTTCAATGAAACTCCTCAGTTAAGCCCTGCAAGCCCGTGTGCATGTACTTACCAAGTTTCATACCATATCGTTCATCTGCGCGTTCCAAACGAGCCGTTTGAATTCACTTCTTCATTTAGCAGTTTTGCGAAATTCTCGGAAAAAATGCTAATTACTCGTTCCGTTCACATAAGTTTTTCATAACTTTTCATACTATGTTTCCACTAGCCTCTCTCCGTTCGCATACAAAATTTGGTGCCATATCGTTACACATACATTGAGAACTAGTCATGTATGCAGTTACAAATAGCATCGCTTGGGCGACGTCGCGCGTGCGGCAATTAGCGACGGCGCGGTTTGACGCGCTCGAACTCCAGTGTTCGCCTGTTGAGGCACATAACATGTCAAGATAAGTAGCGAGCATGAACTACCAATTTTTTTCCGGGGCTCCGCCCCGGACCCCGCAAAAACGATTTCTCCTTTGCTTTTTGGCCCCAAAACGATTTCCAGCTTGTCATTTGCCGACCTCGTGCCGGGCCCTGATCTTAACTAGTTAAACGTGAATGCACATGATTTTCACGTGTTTTCTAGTCTATTAAAGCTCTAAACTTACTTATTTTATTGATTCCATTTTTTTTCACAGATCACCTCGTTGAAGATCGAATCGAATCCGTTTGCAAAAGGTTTTCGTGAATGTGAACTTGATGATCCTCGTATTCTACCTTTTCTTTTGCCTTTTTATAGTCTCACTTTGCCATTCAGGAACACTTAATGCTTGTTTTTATGTAATTTTTTGTGTGTTGCACTTTGCAGTCTAGTCGTTTTAGATCGATTACATTATCTATTTTATGTACATTCGTTGCTTCAGTGCCTTAATGAGCTTGTATATAATTGCGAACTTCTAACTCAAAGCCAATAAAGTCAGTCTTCTGCTGTTTCCTTCGTTTTACGTTTTACTCAACTAAACTGCGTGCAATGTGCGTTAGAACTTTGAATCAAACAGCAACTACAAGCACTCAAAGCTTGTGGTGGTAGGGGGGGGGGGGTGGGCGTGAGAAGAAGAATCAGAGGATGTCGAGCTTGTCGCGATTATTGCTTATCTATAGTAAGGACATTAAGGTTTTGAACGCTTTTCTAAAGGTTTTGGACATTCTCGCTTTTGGCAACTTTAGTCAAAGCGCGATATGGCAATGTTCCAGTTACTAGCGGCCCTAAGGGCCGCTTGCAAGTATGCTAGGGTACATATAGTCATCACCACAATAACCTCTACGTTTTATACCTTTTTAGGGTTCTGGGCAACTGAAACCGAGTAATAAATGACTTTTGACTCTTCTGATTGTGAGAATCCTCTTTGCTGATTATTCGATACCTTTTGACTCTCTTCTAAAAATTTTCTTTGGGTCAAATGTTTGCACCTCTCAACAGAGTCACCAAGCAGTCGACTCTCAAAGCGACGATGTAGTCTACACTCAGCTAAACACTCAGAAAGTACCTCAGTTCCCGAAAAATTCCGGCAGCGAAAACAAGCATTGTATTCTCATGCCTTATGCGTCGCCTGTAAACCAGTTTTTGCAAATACGTACTGCTCCGCGCCTTCAGATCGGTATATGTGAGAGCTGCCCCACGATCCTGGAGAAGAATACTTCAAGAAAAACTTTCCTACAGGCCTCCTACAGAGCGGTAATCTGAGAAAATAGTGCCCTTCATACCCCTACAAATAATATCGTATTCCGGGATAAGTCTGCCATACAATCCCCCCCCCCTACAAATCGAATATTGCGGGGAAGCCTTTAAGCTGCTTACAGACGGAAAAATTGCCCTATGGTCCGCCCGCGGACGGTAATAGTCATTAGAAGGAAATGCCCTATGGGCCGCTTACAGACCCTTATTTTGAACAAGACTACACTGTGGGCTGGTTACAGACTGGTATTTTTCAAAAAAGATATTTTCAAAAAAGAACTGCTCATGTAGAATGATCCTACGAGCCGCTTACGGACCTTTTCCAGAAAAGGTTGCCCTATGGACGCACACAGACCGATATCAAGAAGAAATTGTCCTTCAAATCTTCAAACCAACTTTCAAAAATTGTCCTAAGAGCCGCTCAAAGTCTATTATTGCAAGAAGCAGTCGCTCGCCCTATGTGTAGCACAAGCTGGTATTTTGAAACAACAGAAGCTATGAGCTGCTTGAGACATATCTTTACGTAACTACCATCGATATATTAGAGAATATAACTGCCCTATGCGCCGCTGCAGAGTGGTAGTTATAGAAAGAAAATGCCCTATAGGCCACTAACAGACCGATGTTTTGAGAAGTTACTCACAGTCCCCTACAGACCGAGGTTTACAAGAACCCCCTTCCCCTTCCTCCGTCGTTCCTCTCCCAACAAACCCTACTGGAGAAAGAACCGTGCTGAGACTGCCCTAACAAGGGAAGTGTCAGAAGTCGCAGTGGCCTTTGGACATGGGATGGGTACCATCTTAAGCAGCTTTAAATGCTGATTCCAAAACAAACTTTCTTAGCTGCAGAACTGATCTGGGTCGCGAGTTACGGGCATTTTAAACATTAGGTTTTACACTGTTTGAAGTACTCTGTGATCACGGGAACCTTTCAATTGCTTGTTTAAGCACCACAGCATGACTTTGATCAAGGCGTAGGATTACGTTAAACATTGTTGGACTGTTTCATCTATGTTTGAGCCCGAAAAAAATGTTCGCTTTAATTTTTGGCTATTCTCAGCGTTGTAAATTTCCCGCAAATTAAATTCAATAACTCTCGTCCTAGATTAGTTCTGCAGCTAAGAAAGGCTGCTTTGGAATCAGCATTTCAAGCTGCTTTAGATGATACTTATTTCATGTCAAAAGGCCACTGCGAGTTCTGACACTTCCCTTGTAAGACCGATATTCTGAGAAAAGGCTATCTTATCCTCCCCCTCTTCCTTCCCCCACAGACCGATAATTACAGGAAGCCCTGCCCTATGGGGGATCAGCAGATATTCCAGATTACAGATCTACAGCCCCTACAAACTGTATTGCCCTACGAGGCACTCACGTATAATCTTCTCTATGGACAGCCAAAGACCGAATCTTGAGAAAGAAGCTGCCAGCTACTTATTGTTAGAGGCCTACACAATGGTATTTTGAGGAGGAACCGCCCTTGGAACCTATATACAACCAATATTTTGTGATAAACTGCTCTATGGGCCACCTACAAACCATAATTTGAGAAAGGACTGCCTTATGGGATTTTACAGACCAATATTTCAAGAAAAATTGCTCTATGTGCCGCTGCAAATCGATAATTTCTAAAAGGAGCGGCCGAGCGGGGAGGGGGGGGGGGGGCTTGCCAACGATAATTTGTAAAGAATCGCTCCATGGGCCTCTTGCAGCATTTTGGGAAATAACCGCTCTATGGGCGCTCACAGACCAATATATCAGGAATTGAGCTGGAAACCCTCAAACCAATATCTCGAAAAAAATTGCAGCCGTTCAAAGACCGATATTTGAGAAAGAGCGCTTTCCGAGTCCCTTATGAATTGGTCTTCTGAGAGAGAAAAAATATTAGGTTGTGTAATAAGTTCGTTCGCATTTTTTGTTTTGATTTTTTCTCAATATTTTGCAAAACATTTGGCGTAGTGTTAGTATGCGTTCGAAAGCTCTAAGTTTGCTCTACCAAAATACTCTCAGTATATTCTCAGTTTTTCAAAACTTGAAGAAAAAAATTCTACTACAAACCGAAAAATCTGAAGTGGCAAAAATCCCATTTTCGACATCTTTTTTCTTCCTTAGTTTTCCCGTTATTCTTTGTTGAAATTCATTCAAAAAGCTTGATAACGAAGAAAAACAAATGACTAACAATTTACGCATTTACTGATACTATTTACGATTGCCCATTTCCTTTCACCGACCGTTTAATGCAATTTTTTGCAAAACTCGGCGTAGCAAGGCTTCGCCGCAGCGTGTTCGTTGTCTCGCGTCCGTGGGCTATGTGTCCCTCGAATTCTGAATTTTTGACTATATAAGCCATTTATTCGATGATTTAGCCATCATAGACCACATGTCTGCCAATTCCTGGATTGTTCGGCTGCCACCTTTCCTCAGAGCTGCCTTCAGATGCTTAACGTTGACACCAGAAAAGCCATAAAAACATACCTATGTTTGAGCTTACAATATGAATTGTTTTTAAAAGATTTTAGCTCTACAGGTAATCTGCGGGAGCTATAGTATTCTATTTATACATGTCGCAAAATTTTTGAGCTGTTTCTCAAGCGCTCAAACCCATTCAAGGTGCGGCATAATATAGTTGTCGAAAATGGGATTTTCGCCATTTCATATTTTTCGGTTTGTAGTCGATTTTTTTATTCAACTTTATAAACTGTGAATATAATGATAACAGTTTGGTAGAGTAGACTTAGAGCTTCCGAATGCATACTAACATTATGCCAAATGTCTTGTAAAACACCGAGAAAAAATTGAAACAAAAAATGCGAACGAACTTATTACACAACCTAATAATTAGAACAGGTTACAGTATATCTACGCCTCATACAAACCAACTTTCACAAGTAACTCCTCTACGCGCCGCATACAGACCGACAATTTTAGGAGGTGCCCTAGTCGCTTATACATCAGCATTTTGAGAAACAAGTACGAGCCTAAAAAGTGCCTGATGAGAAGCTTATGGAACGATAATTGTATGACGATTCTACGAGCCCTTCCGCTCCTCTTCAAATTCATATCTGAAAAAAAGCGCATTATGGTCCACCAACTATAAATATGAAGATGAAATGTTCCCCTTGCGGACCGATACTTTGAGAAGGAACCACCCTACAAATAACCGCTAACTGGATAATTGTCGAAAAAAACTCCTCAGGGGAGCTTACAGATCAATATTTTTAGTAGAACTGCCTTACTGGCACCTACAAATCAAGAAAGAGCCCTATGAACAGATTAAGCATTGAAAGATATGCCCAATGAACAGCGAACAGACTGGAGTTGTGAGAAATGATTGCAGAGACCTATAAGAATAGCCTTACGACTTACCAACTTATTTCAAAAACAGAGAACTGTCCTCATCAATTCTCACCAACTATGCCAGCTATGAACTTTAACTAATTATGGGCAGCCAAGAACTTAAGCAGGAAAATGAAAATGTGAGCAGTCGAAGGGTAAACGTCGAGGAACTATTAAAGCATGTCTACGCTAGACAGCGAGTTCCGAATCATTCATACCGGCAGAGTTCAAACTTGCGAAAGAAGGGGGGGGGGGTACTGTTAGCAACCTTACGAGAGTGTCGGCCCCTTCCCAACTATAGCCTTTTTGCACTTAAGGACCGCACCCCTTTTGGACGCCTTCCTCGAGGAGACACGATATTTACCACCCCCTGTACCCCTACGAAAACACGCTAGCCTTGTAGACAATCTGCACCCTCCGCACCCTCGGCAATCACTCGCCTCAGTCCGCAACTTGTCAACATGTAAGTGCAAAACCTTGCCATTCTTTATTATAGAATGATTTATAACTTCCTGTAATCATCTCTTGTCAGTTCAGCTTGAGTCCATCCAGATTTGAGTCCACTTGGTCCAACCTTCCATGATTTATCGTTTTTGGACCATTCCATTAACGATTTTGGATATGAATCCTAAACCACGTAAACATTCCGAAATTCTCCTTTTTGTTAAAACCTTATTCTGGCAAGCATTCAAGGTAGTAGCATCCACCCGAAATTTTCGTCGTCCATCTTTTCCTCATTCTGGGACCTTTCCTGGCCCTGATTACGCTTATGAT